CACACACACACACACACGCACAGATCAGACGTGTGTCACTGCTGTGGAAGCACTTTGGAAATGATGCACGCGCAGCGGAGCAGGTCACGCGCACCTGACACAATTTGTTGTTAGTATTTTTCGCTACGTTCTCTTTTTTGAATGGTTGCATAACGTTCAACTTCCCCGAAGATCTCGACGCGAAGCCTGAAGGGTAAACACCAGGTTTACTAATCTACCCGCACAATTTGTCCGGTGTCGGAATGTCTCGCTATGTACATTCTTAAAAAACAAAACACCATTTAATTTCGGGTTAAAATGTGTTGTAACTGCGTTACTGAGCATTGTAACAGGTAATATATTACCCACATTTCATTAGTAATGCGTTACATTACTTCGTTACAGCAAAAAGTAATATATTACTGTAACTCCGTTACTTTTGTAACGCGTTACACCCAACACTGCTCTGGATTGGCCAAAATAAATAACTTTCTTAGAGTAAGATGCTATTTATGCTATTTTATGCTGTGATGGCTATGTGCCATGTCTAACTGCTGAGCAGTGGCTAAGCTGCTCTGATTTCTTTGGACGCAGAGGTGGGAAAAGTACTCAGATCTTGTACTTAGGTCAAAGTAAAAGTACCGGGGAGTGTAGGAATACTCTGTTACAAGTAAAAGTCCTGCATTAAAAATGTTACTCAAGTAAAAGTATTGAGGAGGTAGAGTACTCATTATGGAGGTCCATTTCAGAATTATATATATTATATGTTTTGATTATATATATTGATGCAGATTTGTGTTATCAAAGCTGGTAAATTACTTTGTAAACTGCATGGTAGCTTGTGCATTTTACTCCAGGTGTAACTAAAGTGTTGTTTAGGTGTTGATTATATTTTACGTCATTAATCTAAATCTGCAAAGTAACTAAAGGTATTAAATAAATGTAGTGGAGTAATAGTACACAATTTACCTCAGAGTTCCTCAAAATTGGAATGAGGACAGCACATAAATCTACTTAGTAACTTGCTTGATGCAGACCATTAAATACCAAAACAAAAAAACAACTGTTCATGTACTCAGCCAACCGCCCAGCCCTAGAACATACCAATATGCTAAATACCATACTGTATATTCAGGATATTACGATGCTATGTGGCAGAGACCCCTGCCATTGAATATGGAAAGATCTTTGTGGTGACGAGCTGAAGATGAGTTACTTGAGCCACGACATGTTGCTCATCGCCTTCCAGATAATAGCTGGAGCCTCTCCCCTCCCCCAAGTTACCTTGAGATATCCCCCTCCTCATCTCTCTCCTTCTCACAGGCCTGAATGAATGCAGACACCCACTATGTAGTCACATCTATACACTCACACACGCAGAGCTCCTCCCTCCTCTGAAAGCCAGATGCTAAAAGGAGAACAGGAAAGTCTCCTGTGGGCAGCCTGCTGATCCACACCTGCTCCACATTGTGCACATGTTACACTCACTATGTGGCTCATTTGTAACGCAGAACTGGGTCAGACAGTGTAATCAGATTACATTGGAAGAACGTTCGGCACAGTGCAGATTCCCAGACTCACTGAGATTATTTGGTCGGCTCGTCCTCTGTTATCAAATGAAAGGTTCTCTGTACAGCACTTCAACAAGACCTTTGAGTGAACCAGGACAACAGTGAATTCAATGAAAGCTTTGCTGCCCAGTGTGGATTCAAACGATTATGACTAAGAAGAGTTACAAATCACAGGGAGGTCATCTACACACTAATCTGGTGGTGTGATGCATTAGGAAAGCTTCAGTATTGCTCTTCTCTTTTAAATTGTGCTACATGTTGAGAAATTGTATGTTGGTAAAATCACTAATTTGACAAGGGACAAGTGCTTTAGCAGCCCAGACTCAGCGGTTCCTATAATATCCTGCTTGCTTCGAATATCGTTTTTATTTGTATTTAAATAAAAAAATCTTTACGACCATAAAGGAATTCAGCATATTTCCCTTCATTCTTTTGTACCAATTTTGAGCAGTTTTTGCTTAATCATACCAATACACTTTTCCTTAAATAGGTTTACTTTTATCCATCAATGTTAAAAGACTGAGTTAATGTAGTATTACAGCACTCACTTCTCGCATTATATCCACCAAGTCTGTTACTGACAGCAAAGCCTGTGCACCTGTGGTTAATTATGTCTAGCAAAAAGGAAAACTCACATTATTTTATTATTTTAGTTTAACTTGAAGCTGATTTCATAAGTATTCGCAATCATGAAAATAATCCTGCTAAATCCGTCCTGCGTGTACACATTGACTGCAGCAGCTAGTCCTCTGAGTGGGGGTCTTGAATGCTAATTATGATGAATGAGTATAATTGGTGTGTTTATTGGTGAAAAAGTTGTACATATGTCCTCTTAAAGATGTTCTATTACAGATGCAGGCATGTTTGATTGCAGTATGTACATGAATGTAGTTTTGTAGAGCATCAGGGTTTAGTTTTCCATCCCAGCAAGCCACAACATGAGCCTCATTAATTTAATGGTTGTTTGCACAACTGAGTATGGCAGCATGATGAATACTGATAAGTACTTTACATTTAGCTCTCGTCGCATAGGAAGCAACTTATGTCACGCACAGGGTAATTAATTTTGATACAGATACACAACAGCATGGGCTAGGTTTCACTTTCTCACTGCCACTACAAGCAGCAGGAGGTTTTATTGGCAGGAGGATTTCATTTCAGCTAGTAATGAGATTGAATGTTAATGAGCAGTTGTGGTCTGCAAGATGGATATCCAGGGGAATATATGTAGTCCTCACTGTGTGATTATAAGCTGGATGTACTGTAGCCTCTATGTGCATTTATGTGAATAGAGATGAGACAAAAGCAAGCTGGCTGGAGGACAAGTTAAAGACAGTTTGAACTGAGACTGCTTTTATGCTCCAACAAAACACATTTTGTATCATTTGTATATGTCACACTCTTTATTTGTTATTATCACTCCAGAGGGCTTTAAAGGGGACCTATCATGCTAAATGCACTTTTTGATGTCTTTTATACATGAATATGTGTCCCCGTGGTGTCAGGGAACTCACAAAGTGTCAGAAAATTAAACCCTCTCTCTTTTCCTCCGTACCCAAATCTCTAAAAACGGGGGTACAACAGAGCTGATCCAGATTTGCATCCGATATGACGTCATATCGGAAATGTGGACCCACGGCACTATCAGAAAGTTGCTATCAGAAACAATGCCTGACGTGTTTTGGACGTAATATGGTCTTTGTTTACATTAGCGTCGCTAACACTCAGAGCTAACCTGTACTGGAGAGAGTATGTGTAAAAAAGCAGGATATAAAAAGGAACTCACCTTGTGGTAAACCCGCGAGAGAAAAAGCATTTGAGCTCCATTCTGTTTCAGAAATAATCTTTGATGTGGTTTGAAACATGATATGGCATTTAATCACGGGAGCATTTAGCTGTATCTCAGGTAGAATTCTGAGCAGGCATTAGCTCCCCCTCCTCTTTTTTTTTCAAGCTAAGGACCCTGAACCTGCAGTTCTCTAACAGGGCTGAAATAGAGGGATATGAGGGATGTCTGAAATGCATGATCTGTTTGGTATTTTGAGCAAAACAGAACATAGACATGTTTTTATATATTTTTATATATCTGAGACCCATAATATATGCCTAAAAATAGCATAACAGGAGACTGTTAAAGGTGTAGAATTCACATAACTTTTTCAACCTAAATCTCTGCTTCCCATTCCAACCAGCAACACAGACAAAAGGACATGTTTTCCATGTGTTTGACCTAAACTATAGAAAATTCCTTTTCTAATTCTCCTCCCCTCACGTCTGTTCTCTCTGTGTTGACCTGCCAGGTGAGCAATGGTGCGGAGCAGCCCAGGAAACAGCAGCGCTCCGACCTCAATGTTCCCCTGGAGAACAACAATGTTCCAGAGGTGAGACGTTCTTCCCTTCATCAGACCTCAGTCTTTAACACTTCACACGGAGGATATTGTTGTTTATGGGTGTGTGTTTGAACATGTGTGTGAGCCTGTCTGAGTAAATGAGTGATAGTGTAATTACAACCTCAGCTGATGTCCTCTGGTTAAGGCGTGATGGCCTTCTTGTAATTGAGCAGCGAGTCTGCTTGCTGTTTTATGAGAGCCATATTTCACTGAGATGGGTGCAGTGGATGCTTCCTGTACAGACTCCCCCCACAGTGGAGTAAACTTTCTGAATGTGTAGTCGCAGGTTAGAGTTCAAGTGCATCCATTTGGACGTTTGAATCTCATTGATCACTTCACTTTACACAGCTGTCTCTCTGTGGCCACCTTTAGTCCATAGCTTCCTCCTCTCTCCTTTTGGTCATCTCCCTTACATCTCCTGCAGTTCACTTTCAGGTTGATCTGTGGAGTGGATTATTAACGCTTTGCAGTCTCACCACACCCCTTTCTTTTGCCCTTGAGCAATCACATTCAACGCATTCTTCTGTGTGACTGTGAGGCAGGGTGTCTTCCTAAACTGCTTTCACAACATGTCAAGTCACATTTTGGGGGCGAGTCACTCACACTGTTCACACAGGATGTGTTGATATGGCATTTGCTAAAATAGCATGAGGCATCATGTTTTATCACAATAGGTCCTGCATGTTAGTGAAAGGTCCAGCAACACTTGAAATCACAGAAGTAAAAAGCAATAAGTTGTCCTTTCTCATAAAATGACCGAAATGGTTTGGGCTTCTTTAACTTAAAGATTCTCTTCTCATCTATGTTTTCTAATTCTTCTTTGAAAATAAATCAGTAGGCTTCTCTCTGTGAATCATGTTAAATATTTGTGCTGGGTATCTTTAAAAAGGAATATTAAGTATATGCTGCTTTATTCCATAAACTGACATGCTGTTTGAGTGCAGTAAAGTACATTGTGAAAAGCATCAGATGTTAGCCAATTGTACCCCATAGCAACATTCACAAACATAAATAAATGTAAAGTAAGAATGTAGAGAAATGCTTACTTGAACTGCAACCCTGTTCACAAACATGTGTCTGTAATATCCTGTTTTTGTCTTGCAGCCGACAAAGAAGGTTACAGCGTTCCCCAGCTTTGTCGATGGTAAGTTAATCTGTCTGCACACCTGTTTGTTGATGAAATCAAAATATTGTAATTGCATGGAGCCAGTCCAAGTATTACTTAGCCCTCAGTCTATCATTTCATAGGCCTGCTATAACTCTTTCAGTGCTCTTTCTCTGCCTCTGGGCAGATGCTAGGCCTAATAATGTATGAGGGGCTTAGCTGCCTGTCTGCTGCTTCAGATCATGACAGCACATTGTGTCCCTGGGTGGGTGTCTGCAAGTCCACATCTACATATCACAGACGCAGATTAATCTCAGCCCAGCCTCCCACCAGCACAGCACCTCCATCAGCCCCCAGCCAGTGGCCCTCTCACTGCTGATTCCCATCCAGCCTGCTATCACTATATCTCCATGTCCAGAGCAACAGTGTTTGGCTCTATTTCTCCACACAGCACATTGACTGCAGTGATTACAATACGCTCTCTGCTGCACGCTGACTCTTTCCGTCCCGTGTCTCCGTGCTAATCACAGCCCTCTCTGCTTCTCCATGGCCCAGTCCCAGGACCCTGTGAACCAGAGGACCTGATTGATGGAATTATCTTTGCTGCTAACTACTTGGGCTCCACCCAGCTGCTGTCTGAGAGGAACCCCTCCAAGAACATTCGCATGATGCAGGCCCAGGAAGCTGTCAGCAGGGTCAAGGTATTTAGACACACACATGCAAACAAACCCACACACACACACACACACACACACACACACACACACACACACACACACACACACACACACACACACAATTATCACTACTAACACACACACACACACACACACACACACACACACACACACACACACACACACACACACACACACACACACACACACACACACACACACACACACACACACACACACACACACAGAAAGACACACACAGATATTTAGAAGAAGTATAGATATATACTATATCAAAAAGGTTTTGATAGACCTCTTAGGGTAAAAAACAAAACGTAATTAATAGGCAATTTTTTTCAGTCATGACATTTTCTCAGGAGGAGTTGCAAACATTGCAATGACCAAGAAATCGTAGTAGTACTGTCCACAAGTTAAAGAAATATTGTAGGTTACATTTTATTTATTGGACAAACACAGATACTGCTCCAATTTATTTGCAGCTTGATTTGTAAAATAACAAAGAGTTTGTTCCTTTTTCATCAGCGAAGAGAGCAAACAGAACGAGGAAGTACAAGAATTCGAGCAAGAAAAACACATCTTAGTTTGCTACATTTCGTGCTGTTTGTGTTTTTTCAATATCCTCTTCATTCATTAATTACACCAAACTAAAATATCAACAAACAGCAGGAGAGCTGTGTGCTGTTTGATCCTGGTGTGAGAAAATGGCATCCTAGTTTTTGATGAAGGCGGTTCTTTCTGTTCTCCCCAGAGGTGCCAGTATAATGTTACAGTCGTGTTGTTGGTCAGGCTGCGTTGAAAGCACTTGAAATGTCAAAATGTACAGAAGCCCTGCAGGGAGCAGCTTAACATAAATATGTTTGATCGCATTCACCATACAGTGTATGAATTCATTTCTGTACATATCTTTAAGGGAAAATAGGTCTAGGAAATTGAGCATACCCTGTTATTTCATACATCAATTGTACTTAATTCATGATTTATTTAGTTTTACATCTTGGCCAGATTGCTGCCACTAAAATGTAAACTGACCCTAGTGGTTGTTTGCGTCTAGAGCAAAGAAATATAGTCACATATATAAGGCATGAGTGGTCTTTGGGAGCAGCTGGATTGGGTCACAGGACTCGTAGTTTGACACATCTGGTTGGATAATGGGACTCCTGGCATGTGAACCTGATATTCGCATGTTAACATTTGCTCCATGCTGTTCACTAATGTTGTGGTGATGATGATGATGATGACCATTGCACTTTGAGAGAAATGTAGGTAGCTGTGCAGCACAGAGGACCTCAGCTATTATTTTTCATTAGCTTGATTGCTTTGTTCATCACTGTTACCCAGAGTGCTTGTGTCTGAGTTTAAAGTAGCTGCTACTCAAAATCATAAACATCCAGCATTTCGTATGTAACATTTCGAAGTTAGTGTGATCAAACAACATTGTTTCGTGATGACATAATGCGGCCCTGAAGTTTTTTTGTTGCAGACTTGCTACACAGACATCAGTTTCTTTCATCTTCCTCTCATGTGAACAAAAGCTTGGCTGTTTTTCTAAATATTAAATAACCTCCCGGGTAGCAGTCTACTTTTAGAATGTTACATGCTGTGTGTTTGTCCAGTGAGGATAAGTCAGGAATTTAAAGTAGAGAGACAGAAACTTGCTCTACTGTTTGTTTGAAATATAAGATGTGGTTTCCTGATCCAGCTCCTGGTGAAGGATAGTAGCAAACACCAAGATGGCATGAAAAAGTAAATAACTGCCTGTTATAATTAATTCTAATGGGTGCCACTAAGAGATTGGTTTGTGCACTAAAATTGTTCTAATTGTCTTTATTTTAGACACAGTTAGTGGGTACCTTATGATTGGTAACTCTAGGTTAATAAACACCTACTTTGGGGCCTTAATTAAAAGACAGACTCGGATGATTAAGACAATTCCTTCAATAATTTCCCCACTCAGCCTTACCCTTTTAATTTCACGTGCTTCAATTTAATGTAATTTGTTCCACCTTTACTAAGAAGTAAAGGTTAGTGGTCCTTGTGCAGGCGCACCGATGAGTCTTAATGAATATCTCATGGTGACTGAAGGAGACTACACATGGATACTGATGCCTGCAGGTATTTATATTATAATATATATGCAAATAATTGTCTCTAATCTCTAATAATACGATACATCTAAGCCAATGCAATACCAGTATTTGTTGAAGACACCAAAACAATACTTGTTTTTTCAATTCCTTTATTCGAGGAATATACAGATGTTTTTCAAACGTTAAACGTCTTCAGAAAAGAACATACAGTAGCCTGACAACTTTTGGTCCACACTCTTTGAGGCACTTTTCTGTCCATTTAAAAAATGTGTTGGATTTTTAAATGTAGCCATAATCTTTACGGACATTGTAAACATTAAAAAGCTTTAATGTGCCATGAAAGACTACCGGCTTAAGTCTGTGATGATGTTTCTGTGATCTGCTACTGCAGGCTTAAACCACTGGAATCTTGTTTTCCATTTAAAGATTAATTCCCAAATCCCTAATAACACTCTGAAGGGTCTCAACCCAAACATAGCGCCTTCTTGGAAAAAAGAAGAGTGACAGGAAAGTGATGGCGTAGAATCTGAAAGTCTTTTGGCCCGTTGGCTAGTTTCAATCTAAAAGCCCTTTTCACCACAATAAGGATGTCTAGTGGCATCATTTCACATCCATCCAATCTATGTTTCGTTCTTCTCTCACTCACTCTCTGTCATGCATAAATTCCTTCCCTGCAAAACGTCTTGTCAGGATGAAACCATGGCAACAGTGTGCTATCACCTTTTAGTGCTTTCCCCTGCTTGGAACAGGTCCATTGAACAAGAAGTCATCCATTATCTCCTCCATTTGTTTCTCGTTGACGAATGAAAAGCTACACAGCAAACAACGTTTCATGTTCTGACATTGACATGGACACAGCCAACTGCAAACCTACAAATGCAATAACATGCAGCCATATTTGTATGTTTTATATTTGTATATTTGCTCTGGATTAACCCAAACAAGCACACAGTTAGACCATGTAGTGCCTTAGGGAGGAAAACAAAGTTTGCCAGGTGAAGAGCAGCAAGGAAGACTGTAAAGGTTATTTATGCAGATCTTTTTGGCACGATGTTCTCTCCGTAATAATGTAATATTTATGCCGCTTCACCCCCCACTCACTCTTTCCTGCCGTCTATCCCCCCCTGCTCAGCTCCTCCTCAGCAGAGCAGTAGATGCTGCTGAAAGCCTCAGATGTCTGACTTGCGTGAGAGAAGATCACGGAGAAGGAAACTTTGTTAAGCGAAAAAAAAAAAAAAGACTGCTCTTATTTATTATTCCTTTTCACTAATACTGTCTTAGTGGTTAAAGCTCTGCAAGGTGGATCAGGCAAACTTAAAGTCTCACAATCTGAAATGTAACGAGGGTCAAGATCATTTCCTCTGGTTGATTGCGGAAGGAGAGAGGGGCAGAAAGAGAGTTGGTTCTTCTTGAAGATTACTAAATGCTAAGAGTACCCTAAACGATTACCAGATTACATTTGAGCTCTTGTGGAGTCCAGAATTGCTGATGAACTAATCAGTCACATTAGCCGTGTCAAACTTCCTCCGAGCTGTTATTCCAAACATAGTGACTCGACCTTGTCAGTTTGTGATTTTCTTTTCAATGCAGCGAAGAGAACAAACCCCAAGCGCGCAGTTTAAATCCTCGCTCTGGGCTTTATCCGGTCCCCTGCCTCTGAGTGTTGATTGTTTTCCAGCATGTCTTTCCCAGTAATAGTGTTTAGACTGTGACATGAACATAAGATGTGGTAAGAACAGTGTTTATACACACAACCTTAGCTATCGACATAATTGTCTTCGTAAGCTGTAGTGCTTTTGGCAATGTCTTTCTTTGGGGAAATGTTCTGACCACAAAACTGACACTTGCAATGTTAACACTAATAAGAAAAACATATAAAAAATAACCATTAGACTCTTCAAATATATGTTTATATGCCTACATTGCAGGAACAGTGTCAATTAATATCTGCATGCTTTTGATTTGATGTGTTTTGGAGAGAAACAGCAATTATTATCCTCCATAATTGCTGTTTTCGTTTGTATCAGATAACCAACACGGCTGTGTGAACGCTATCTCCAGAAACACACACAGTCACACACACACACACACACACACACACACACACACACACACACACACACACACACACACACACACACACACACACACACACACACACACACACACACACACACACACACACACTCCCTCTGTCTGTTTCTGAGAGCAGCGATAGCACACCTGCTGTTTGGTTTGAGGCTTAACTGTCTTACCTTTCTTTTATTTACCTTCTTTATTTCCTCCTCCTCTTCCTCCTGTTTTTGTGCTCCTGTATGCGCTGACCTTGTCCTGTCCCACCGTCTGCCTGCCTGCCTGCCAGAGGGTACAGAAGGCTGCAAAAGTCAAGAAAAAGGCGGTGTGTAAAAACAGAGTAAAAGGAAGAATCTTAGGCCACTTTCCCCGCCACCTTCACCTTTTTTTCATTTCATTTGTGCCTGTTTGTTTCTGTGAATCGTCCGCATCTGTGTCTTTGTCACATTTTAGTTGAACCAGTATTTATCAGTTTTTGGATAAGACAAACATGTTTTGTTGTCACGCACTTTGTCTGTAAGATTCTTTTATAAGCCTCAGGGTTGGCTGTAAGGCAAAACACTGAGAACTGCTGAGGCAAATTAGATAACAGCCCATTGACACGATCTATATGCCACCCCTGTGACCACGGTAACAGAAAACATGTCAGCAAAAGACTAAGAGAGAAGCTTTAGGATTGTATCATGGGGTTTCTCCTAATACATTGCCATAACAATGTAATAACCTGCGTAATCTTTTCATGAAATCATAAATGTATGTTTAAGAGTCTACAATTCTCAAGTGATTCAATTAATACAAGTGTTATTAATGACATTTAAAAGTTAAACTAAGGTTATTCTATACTCTATCCGAAGCCTTGGGTGATTTGGTGGTTTATAGTGGAGGGCTTGATAGAGTAGAAAATGTCTAACAACCAGTTTACTAACAAATACAAAGATAAAACAGCAAATTGAAATACTCTAGTTTATGTGTTGCTGACTAAAACAAGCACAACATACTAAATGGTTATACAATAACCCTTTGCGTTAGATTCAAGGGCATAAAACGTAATATCAGTTAAGAGGACAGTGAGAAACATTTCTGAACCTAATAGAGTGGCGAAGTCACGCCCATCTACTTCCGCCCCATGGGACCTTATTTCTGAAAAATTATGTATTGAAGTCAATGGGGAGAGAAAACGTATCTTTCGATCCCGTTTGAATTGTGCCATGAATTACACATATGATGTTTGTCAATCTTAAAAAATAATTTCCGTGTCAAAAAGTCACAGTTTGTCTTAAAACTGTTGAAATATAAGACTATGAAAAATATGCAACTAGAAAGACTACAAATCCCAGAGTCGCGTAAGTGATGTCATTAACGTTACACATTACACTCGTGTTACTCATTGAAACCTTGTAAAGCCGGTCCTGCATGCTGGCTCTTACGGAACCGGCCAACTCCCCTTGTGTGTATGTACAGCTCTCAACATGACAAGACTTGTAGTGATTTTCACCTCTTTTAATACTTTTCACTTCATTCTGAAAGAAAGAGGTGAAATGTGCCAACGTGACGGCCATCTTGGTGACGTGTGCGAGACCAGAGATGTAGTTCATTTAGCACTTCACACAAAAACATTTGTTACTTCACAGTTTTACGACACAGTTTAATTTTTTTGACTTGCAAAATAATCTTTTAAATTGACAAACATCATATGTGTAATTCGTTGCACAATTCAAACGGAATCAAAAGATAATCTTTCTCTCTCCATTGACTTCAATACATGATTTTTCCGAAATAAGGTCCCATGGAGGTCCCCCGGAAGGGGAGGGACTTCGCCACTCTATGCACAGCTCATGTCACCAGCAGCAACTCTAAATGCAGTTATGATTCATATTCTCTACTTACAGTGCCGTTACTATCAAATATGTTAAATTGTTTATTGGGGAGATTACAATCCAGTGCACGCCTAATTGTTTGTGTGATTAACTCAGTCTTCACCAGTGAGCAGAACATGATTCTTGCTATGATTCACTTTCCACTCCACTATTCTGTAGAGTGGAGACAAGGATGTTATGAAAAACCTAGGGAGAAGAAAAACGGTACAATCCAACAGTCCTTAAGGGGAAGGGGCTGGTAGTTGGATGCTGTACATATCTGGTCCCGTTTTGTTGTTTGGTTTTATATTCCGTTTTATTCTTTCATTTTTGTATGGCTTGACAGAATAGTGATGCTGTTATCAGACATTTGAGAGATACACACCAGGGAATCGAAAAGGCTGATGTCGTTCATAGAAGAGCATGATTGTCATTTGTAGTAAACCGTTCTGTAAACCGTTATGCATTAAATATACAAAACAAGTTGGATTAAGAATTGGGAGTATAGCTGCAATTATAAATGCACAAAATGATAGATTGGAAGAAGTTGATCTTTTAATCTTTAATTGGTTTCCATGCTGCTTCAGACACTCGGTAGGTAGGATAAGAATGAACGTACTAATAAGTGTTACAATCCAAACTCTCCTCCCGTGAAATATTAATTACATCTATATGTTTGTTTTGAATCAATATTTTTCCACCAGGCAATTTTAATTAAGCACAATCAGATGTAATGTTATTAGTCTGCACTGCACAGTGATTAGAGGGAAGTGTGTGCAGGCTTGTTATGTGCTGTAGCTGGTAAAGCAGCCAGCTGGTTAGGGTTTAATGTTAAGCTGTTTGTTGTTTCCGTGCCAACTCGCTGTCCTCGTGCCAGGACAGTTGATGTAAACAAACACCACTGCCAACCGCTTTCTGTTTCTGCCTTTTCAACCTCACCTTTAGACAACAACCAGTCCATCTAACAAGCATTCCCCTAGCTGAACACTGAATTAAACATGCATGCATTTTTAATATCTTAACATCAAACACAGACCATTCAGGCAGTTTTAAATAACCATAACACCGGCAAGTTTTCCTCAAAGATCTTGAACAATCAGATTCCAAGAAGACAATTTGACCAACTCTTTTGTTTTTTGTTCTTATTCTCGCTGCAGGGTTCAGACGGAGATGCTCAAACCCTCACCGAGGTGGATCTGTTCATCTCGACCCAGAGGATCAAAGTCCTCAACGCAGACTCACAGGTGAGTTCCAGCAAACAAACACACCACGTTTTTGTTCAATTTCTATTCTCACCTGTGAGAGTATAAGCTGTTTACCATGACAGTCACTCAGCCACTATCCTCTCATGTGTAGTTATACAACGCATTGGGAGGGAGTTCCGTCATAAATGCAGCTTAACAGAGACACAAATGGCTTCTTTTGAAACCCAATTCAATTATTGCTATTTATTTGTTTGTTTAATCCCACAATGTCACAATTCTCATTGTTTGAGGATATAAATAGACACAGCAAAGCCGAGAACAAGCCCCACAAACATCTGTGCATGGAGATCACGTACTGTGTCAGCTGTATGACTGCAGCACAATCTACCGTCCCTGTTTTCATTGTTTCCTCATAGTATAAATATTCAAGTCATGACCATACTAGTACTCAACAACCATTTGTTTAAGGGCTGTCTAAGTTACAATATGGCCTCTTCTTTAATTGTTCTACAGACAGACAGAATGCAAACATTCATACTATAGTTTGACTTTCCGGATGTTTTTCTGGATGAAAAATCCCATTAATCTTCAAAGCTTCTCTCCACTCTTGCTGAGGCTTTGTCAAAAGTTTTCTTGCCTTTTAGCTTAACAACAAGCAGCGGTGTGAAGTGGCACTGGAAGTCTTTACAGGAGGGGGAGCTTTGATAGAAGTAGAAATGCTTCTCAAAATGTGCAGCTTCATCTCTTCAAATGTTCTCAATCCCTTTCAAAGACCCCAGGACACACTCAAGACTCAATCAATGACATTATAACCTCCTGAAAGTCAAAGCTAGGTGACATATATTATTTAATAAAGAGAGAATGTATAAACTTAACTGCCCTAAAGGCTAGGCAGAGGCTTTAAGATGTTTTATGTTTAGAGCATGGATTGATTTGAGAATATATTCATCTTCGATATGTATGTGGCATACTGTTCTGCTGCTCTGGGCCGAAGTTTAACTATCCCACTTCACATTCAATAAAACCCCCATGTGTGACTGGTGCAAGCAGAACCTAGCCACTTAAATTCACATGTTTTGGGATCGCCCTAAATTATTTAATGTTTGGCGATTAATCATTCATTTGCCTTCAAGATCTACTGATCGGAGCGGAGCATGGCTTTTGCAAGCATCGTGAGCATCAAAAGTAAGCAATGTGAGCAATGTTCAACTTTTGATGCTCCCAATGCTTGTGAAGCTGGCATCAGCCAATCAAATCCCGTTTATGCAAATCCCGCCAGTGCAAGCGCTAGCCAATCAAACCGCGTGCAAGCTGGGAGAGCCAGAGAGCCAGTTAATTTCCTCATATTCCAAACGAGAAATTACGGTAGCAAATCACCCGGTTCTTTACGACCAGAACTATTTACCGGGATACAAACCGGAGGAACCAGGCATGGAGGGAGGTGGCAGAGACAGAGGGTGAAACTGGTAGGTTTTCGCCTGTTTGGGGAGTTTATATCCAGTTTACTTCGTTTTAACATTGCTATTGCTTTGTATGTCGGGGGCGGGAGATTCATGTGATTGGTTGTTGGTCGCGTTGCTCGCAAAAGATCGCCAAGCTTCAGACACGCCCAGCATCAAGATTTTTCAATATTTTTTTCATGCCTGTGTGTGGACGGGCCGTTAGTGTGGTAACATAACATCCTACTTTTAATAACAATAAACTCAATTTTTGTAAATTTTTTCACACTGTCGGGCAAAATGATGGTTACAAAAGGTGTTGTTCAACATTGATGATGGATTGGTTGTATTTTATTGATTTGGAGAAGAGGGTTTCATTATCAGGTTTATTATTTCCTCTGACTAGTCTAACCCTTTCAGCTCTATCTTTGTTTTATGTTTATTCAACAAAGAATGTTAGAAATTAAACTATTATTTTGAAAAATTTGATTTTTTACATTATTTGTATGTTTATTTATTTTCTTAATGTTATTGCCTAGTTTTAGTTGTTTACCCTGTAAACATATCTATCAGTCCAAATGTGTTTATTAAGAGTTGTATAACCAAAAATCACGCACTGAAAGGAACTGTTTTACAGTTTTGGGATTTCAGAAAGAGATTTCTGCTCACACTACAAGTGAAATGTGTATATGATAGATGATTCATGTGCACTATTTCAGTCTGAGCTGAGTTTCAAAGTGTGTGTGTGTGTGTGTGTGTGTGTGTGTGTGTGTGTGTGTGTGTGTGTGTGTGTGTGTGTGTGTGGGAGGCCGCCTGGCAGAAATTGACGTGCTGCAATGCAGTTTATATCTTCCTCCCTTTTCCATCTGGTTGCCACTGATCCTGGCACTCTTTAGAGAGAGAGAGAGAAAGAGAGAAAGAGAGAGAGAGAGAGAGAGAGAGAGAGAAAGAGAGAGAGAAAGAGATTCTGAGTATAAAAGCCTTCCTTTTGCATTTAAAAGGCTCAGTGCAGCTTGCCATCGTTTCTGACATTGATTCATAATATGAACCACTGCAAAGGTGGGCTGGAACAACAGGATTAATTAGGATACTGTATTAAACCCATCAGACACAGTTAATAAGGGAAGTTAACTAAACTGAAATTATATTGATTTAGCATATGTTAAAACATGAACAAAAACAAGTTTTTCTCAGCAAACCTTCAGAATCTCCTTCAATTGTAAATCTAAACTGCTATTCCATATTTGCGTTCAGAAACAATGCTTCATATCAGCTACATCTTAACATACGGTAATTATTTGGCTGAGTAAACAAACATATCATTTTCTTTTCTTCAACACAAACACTGATATCCAAACCAAGTGTTTTGTACACCTGTTCATTATTATCCGATGAAATGTACTCAAGATCAAATTCTTCGGGTCGTTATTTTGCTATAATCACATCATACAGTTTTTAATTCATTCAAAATAAGGCGTGTATTTTTCTATCAACATTACTTTCATCTCACTCTCTGCCCTAAAGAATCCGGCAGCTTTGACAAAGACAGGAAACAAGTCTGCTGCACACTGGTGTTTTAATCATCAAATATTACCGATCAAAGGAAGCCAACTGTTAACTGAAACAGGATCATTACCAGTAATTGTTACAAAATATTGCTCAAAGCTAAGTTAGTTTTTGAGAAACACTAACAGCAAGCTCACTGTGGAAAGATGTAATGACGTAAATGTGTCATTTAAAAGGCCTTCTCGTGATGTAAGTATTGTGTCTTTTTATTGGCTCCAGCATGGTCTCTCTGGCACCTACGTATATTATATCAATACCCAATGTAAGTCATGGTCCAAAATGTAGTTTACTTTTTGTAGTTCCATGGTCAGGTTGAGAGAGAGGAAGGGGGGTGTGGTGGATGCACAACATTAATAATAATAGCTCCTTCAAAATATGACAAATAATATAAATGGTAGCAGTGTGTATAGCAAGCAAAACCACAGCAGCAGGCGAAGCAACAATCCATGATCCAAGGCAACACAACACAGCACAAAGACATTGTGATTCCCCATGAAGGCAGAGAGATAGAGAGGAAGAGGAAGAGAGAGGAGCTTCGTGTCGGTCTCCCAGCAGTATAAGCCTATAGCAGCATAACTAAAGGATGGTTAAAGCTTTAGAAAAAGGCCTTTAATGTGGAGTGGACGATTCTCCACAATTCTGTGGTCTCGTTTCAGCCTTTTTAACCCCGTCATCTGAGTTGGTTTGGAGACACTGAATTATGAAATAACTCTGTGTCTATATTTTGTTCTGATGTGAGGTCCACATAATCAAAATTATTTGATTAAACACCTCAATCTTCATATATTACTAAATGATAGCATATAAATACAGTCGTTGCTGTCATATGGCTATACAAGTTGAACATTTGACTTAACTGTAGAGCAAAATATGTTGCCTCTTATACATTTTGGTTGATGTCTCTACAGGAAACGATGATGGACAACGCGCTCCGAACTATATCCTACATTGCCGATATTGGGAACATCGTGGTCCTGATGGCGAGACGCCGCATGCCACGAACAGCCTCTCAGGACTGCATCGAAACTACACCCGGAGCCCCAGAGGCGAAGAAGCAGTACAAGATGATTTGCCATGTCTTTGAGTCTGAGGATGTAAGTACTTTGTGAGTTTTTAATATCACAAACCGGCTGCTTATGAGAAACAATGAAAAACTTGAAATTCCTTGTGAGCAGGTGATAGGTCACACAGAGGTCGCACTGTTGTGTTTTCCTGTCATTATGTAAGAGGACTCTTGTTGATGCTTGTTTTTGCTTTGTTATTGTTATTTGGTTGTCAGATTCCATTTTAGCTTCCAAATATGAGTGCTTTTCACTCAATTTGTCTCAAAGACATCCTGATATTTGTTCCTGTTTTTCATCTTTCCTCCACATAATTGGAAATAGTTTTCGTTATATTTAGAAATTCTCAGAAGTGTAGCTTTGGGACCTTTAACAAGCGTTCAGAGGATCTCTCTGACAGGAAATGATGTAAATTGGCTGGCCATTTATAACTCACAGAGCTGCTGCTTGTCTTGTTGAAGCAGATTAAGCAAGACTTGGCATCATGAACAATGTGGAGCCAGCAGTCCAGAGTGTGTGCCAGTCGCTCTAAAGGCTGCTCTCCAGTCTGTCCTCTCTTCAGCTAACTTTTGCTGCCAGCTTTTAAAGGCCTGCTGGAGTTATAATGGAGCCGTTCAGCCGCTCATCCATCAACTTAGAAACCGTTTCCGTTGTTGCTCTTCTTGCCGTATGCAGCGTTTGGCTATTTTTGACTTTTTTTATTGCCCTGCAAAACTAATTCTCAGTGTATTGATTTGGAGAGTTTGGGTTCATGAATGTCTGCAACAACAGCAAGAGATTTATATTCAAGTACAGAATTCAATTAAAGAGGAATTCAGCGAGAATAGGGTCTGCAAAATACCGCACCCTCAATATTCTCTAGATCTATCTTATCTCTCACAGCCGAGACCAAGCTTTGGATTCTCAGTCTGCTTTATACGATTTTCTAATTACAAGTTTTTTTACAAGTTTTTCCTTCCTTGGTATTAAATGTATGTGTGTCTTGATGGAGGGGGCTTTAAAGCTGCAGTTCCATATCTTTGTGTACTAGATCTTTGTACTTACAGCCCAAACAGATATGCTTAAAACCCTTCATCATTACCACCTGAGATGACACCGAGATTTTAAACTGGATGCATGCTGATCCTGGAAGTGTTGATGTTTGGGTCTCTCTCTCCCAGGTTTGCTTACTTAAGAGTGGGTGGCTTAAGCAGCACAATTCAATCATTTATCCTTTTAGCAATATATTTCTGTTGTTACCGGTCACCCAGGTTATTCTGACGTATTTTGTAGTTTATAGGTTATTTCACAGCTATACCAAAGAAAAAACTCAAATGTAATCTTAATACTATTGTTCTGCTTATTTTCCCCTTCAATACAACCACAGCCCATGTGGATGAATCACTTTTCTCACCCAATGATGGCCAAATCCAGATGTACCTCATGCGTGTCAGAGAGCCCCTGGTTGGGAATGGCTAGTCTAAAGTGATGGATTTGTGCAGAATCCTATAGCTGACCATTTATAAACTGAAATATTTCCAACACTGTTGTAAAGGCCAAAAAGAAACTTTGTATGGATTTATTTTTCCGCCGATTATCTTCAGGAATATTCTCATGGAAGCCAGAGCAGGAACATTTTTCCTTTCCTGCTCAAGGTTCAGGTTCAAGGTTCTTTATTTAGTCATACGAACATAGCTACAGTGTGAAAATCTTAGGTCACAGGCTTCTCCAACAGTGCAACACAATAAAACAGATAAACAGAAAAATATAGTGCAAGTAAATAGTAAATACAAAAAGAAAAATAGTTTAAAAAAGTGAAATAGTGCAATAAGAGTCTATAAGCAAGTTATTGGAATATTATTAGGTAAATAGATAAATATTTTTTAAGTTGCAGCCAGATGAATATTAAGGATGTTGTTTCAAAGTTCAGGTGTTCAACAGTCTTATGGCCTGTGGGATGAAACTGTCTCTGAATCTGGTGGTTTTTGTCCGGATGCTGCGGTAACGCCTGCCTGACGGCAGCAGACTGAACAGTTTGTGGCTTGGGTTGATGGGGGTCTTTTATAATACTTAGGGCTTTCTTCCTGAGCCGCTGGGAGTAAAGGTCCTCCATGGATGGCAGCTCCGTCCTGGTGATGTTCTGTGCAGTTTTCACCACCCTCTGTAAAGCCTTACGATTGAGGGCGGTACAGCTGCCGTACCAGGCCGTGATGCAGCCAGTCAGGATACTCTCTATGGTGCACCTGTAGAAGTCCTCAATGAGGACAAATAGCTTTTGACAGGGAAAATCCATTTTTATTAAGCCTTAACATATTCTTGGCACCCTCAATGGCACTATTGTGCGATACCACCGTATGCTTTTTTTCACACTGTATTGTTATTTATATTCAACTCAGTCAAGATAAGCGTCGGTGGACTTAACACAACAACATGATTTCTGCTTTTTGTGTGTAAAGGCCCAGCTCATCGCTCAGTCCATCGGCCAGGCGTTCAGCGTCGCTTACCAGGAGTTCCTGAGAGCAAACGGCATTAACCCAGAGGACCTGAGTCAGAAGGAGTACAGCGACATCATCAACACCCAGGAGATGTATAACGACGACCTCATCCACTTCTCCAACTCTGAAAACTGCAAAGAGGTTGGTATTTGTACAGCCTGCAGTGCGCACACATGGCCCTATTTCTGCAAATGTTTGTGTTTTGCAGGAGAAAAAAATAAATAAAAATAAAACAGTGATTTTACATGCGTGCTGCAGGGCCGTTACAGAAACACACAAATGTACAGGAGCTGTTCACTAATTAGACAGATTAAGAGGCAGATGGTACAGTGAAATCTACTCTCAGCATGTCAACGATAGCTGTGTTTTTTTCATTTGGACTTTTTCATTTCCTCTTTAGCTAACACTTTGCCCTGAAAGCATTACTGAAAGCTTTTGGAGAATTAAAAACCGTAAAACACTTTCTGCCGTCCAAGCACAGAGGCGGCGAGGGCCCCATTTTTAAAGATGGGGAAACGGCTTTCCTCTAGCACTCTCGCTTCCTCGCCGACTGTGTGCAGGACAAATTAGTTTCCCATGGCTTCATGTGCAGGCTGGTAGCATCTGCTGCTCTGAAGAGTCTGAGCTCTTTTCTATATCAGGGCAGTGTTTAGATGTGCAGAGTAACTCAGATTCTGGTGTAATAATAGGATCAGTTTGTGTCTTTTTGTGTAATATGGAACATAAATAATACAGTATAGGCAACCCAAATACAGCTTGGTTGTGCTGTACAAGTGTCACTGCCCCTCTGTGTGTTCACTCAGTGGAGGTTTGTGGTGCTGATTCAGAAGTATTCATAAAGATGCTGAGGATATATGTCCGATATACATGTAGCATTACATAAGAATAATAATGTAGTACTTTTTACGTCTTAGTGCTTTACAACATATAGTTCAAAGACTAAATACGAATCTATAAATACTACTTACTCTACTATTACTACTACTACTACTATTACTACTCTTTCTATACAAACATCTGTGCAGGGCCAAAGTAAAAAACGTTACACTAGTAACTAGACTAACTAGACTTTTTGACATTTGAAAAGATCTGGGAAAATAATGAAAATGATATGTGATTTAATATTTGATATAGAGTTTTAAAACGCATAATCATAATTTATTGCAGCTTATTGATTTATATAGTTTAAGGCAGCCAGAGATATGAAAGGGATAGGTATTTCGATATATACAGTATGACATGGTTGATCATTAATAGACTCATATATATATCATGATATTTCCCAGCCCCACCCTCTGAAATCCAGGCTGCTGTTAGACCACAGATGTCTGCTTGGTTTCATGGTACTGTAGCTAGAAGTAGTCAGTTTGTCTATGACTGACCATGAAAATGAGCAACAGACGTTCTCCTCTCACAGCTGCAGCTGGAGAAGAGCAAAGGGGAGATCCTGGGCGTGGTGATAGTGGAGTCCGGCTGGGGCTCCATCCTGCCCACCGTCATTCTGGCCAACATGTTGAACGGGGGGCCAGCGGCGCGCTCTGGAAAGCTGAGCATCGGAGACCAGATCATGTCCATCAACAACACCAGCCTGGTGGGGCTGCCCCTCGCCACCTGTCAGGGAATCATCAAGGTACACACCGAGGCCATCATGATCATCTAAAATTGTTCCAATTCATTTCTGTGAAACCAATGTACACGTGTTTCTCTCTAAAAGGGCTTGAAGAACCAGGTGCAGGTGAAGATGAATATCGTCAGCTGCCCTCCTGTTACCACCGTCCTCATCAAGAGACCGGATCTGAAGTATCAGCTGGGCTTCAGCGTGCAGAACGGCATTGTGAGTTTCAAGCTGACGTCTGGGTTTGAGATTTGTAATACTGTCAAAACTGTGTCATCCAAAGTGTTGTTTTTCAAAACTTTATTTAAACTTACTTTGTATTTTCATGAATAAAGATTGGATTCATTAGTTTAGATAAGGGATGGGCAAATGGCGGCCTTTTTTGCGGCCCTCAGACTAATTTATAATCAACGTAATTAATTAAAAAAATACAATTATTTGTTATTGTTTTACTTGTAGTACTGATACTGTCCACTAGACTCCTAGTTACGTCACGAGCTGCGTACATGATTTAGTTCGGCAGCCAAATACCACGAAATAATCTGTGACGCGTTTGTGTGTATTGTGTTTGTTTCCCGGGGAAACACTCACAAGAAACACCGGCTGTTGTTATGCCTGCTGTGACGTTAAGTTAATGTAATTGTGCCGTTACAAGCTTAAAAATTATATTTATCATCTGAATTTGGCGAAACAAGTTTAATATTCTAAAAACCAAGACTTTGTTTATTTGAAATCAGATGAAAACAAATTGTCACGGACCCTGCCGTGCTATCTATGATTACTATACGCTTTTCATTCATAATTTCAGCGGGAGGGAGGGGGAGCGGCGCTGAGGAACAGCAGAGTGCGGGTTGACACGAGGGGCCAACTTGTGGCCCCTCGTAAAGTTTTATGATGAGGCCCTCAGTGTACAGTATGCTTTTCAATAGTTTAAAATAGTTTTATTCCACTGTTAAATAACCTGTTCAATACATACTGTACATGCCACTTGTAAACATTTAATAACACTTCTGTGAACTGGTATTTGTTTAGTGAGCTTATTAGAGGATGTTCCCTGAAAGATTGTAAAATGTCAATGAACATGTCAGACTTAATTTGTTAATAATTACATACAATACATGGAATTTGTGTGTGTGTGTGTGTGTGTGTGTGTGTGTGTTCCAATTGAATCTGCGACCCTCTGGTGGCCAGTACATACATTATGTGGCCCCCACCACCATCAAGTTGCCCATCGCTGGTTTAGATGAATCTTCAAATGTGTCTATGTGTTTGGAATTTGCAGTGATAAACTGCTGTTCTGCCTCGAACAGCATTGTCCACAAAATACAATCCTTGATTAAAAACATAACTCCAATTATCTTCAGTGAGGATGTAATGTGAAGTTTATCTCTTGCCGTTACAGTTTTTGTTTCAGGTGTCTTCAAAGTATCCCCGCAGACATGTCACCTTTCCAGTGGCCTTGTTTTTGCATATTACTCAGTATTTTCTCCCAAAATGCTAATACCTTGACGACCTTTTGTGTGTTTGTCAGATCTGCAGTCTGATGCGCGGCGGCATTGCTGAGCGAGGGGGGGTCCGTGTGGGTCACAGGATCATAGAGATCAACGGGCAGAGTGTGGTGGCCACTGCACACGAGAAAATCGTCCAGGCCCTCTCCAACTCTGTCGGCGAGGTGAAACTGATGAACATAAACACACACACATTAGAAAGCAGAGGACACTAACATTGGGATGTACAGTTTTGCATATATGGAGAAAAACATGTGTTTTTATTTCACTACCACTATCGGCATGAAGTAAATAACACTGTACATAAAACTGTTGAGAGAGTTGTGTGGCCCTCCCTGGGAACACACAGACACACAGCTGCGGACTGTTTATGGGGACAATAGGTTGGGACGTGGGCTGGACGTTGCCAGGAGTTCAATGTAAAGCCAGCCCATATTTTCGACTTGACGTCAAGTCCGCAGCAAATCTGGATCAGCTCCGTTGTACCCCTGTTTTTAGAGGTTTGGGTAAGGAGGAAAAGTGTTTCCGGACACTTTCTGAGGCTCCTTACACACCGGGGACACATATTTATTAGGGCTGTCAAGTTAACGCGTTAATAACAAAAAAAATTTAACGCCACTACTTATTTTAACGTGCAATTAACGCATGTGTATTTGTCCTAGGCCCGCCCCGTAGTTTCATAGCCCAAAGGCTTGACATTGTTGTTGTTGTTAGTTGGATGGTGGGAGATTCTAGCAAGAGATATGGATACAAGAAAAGGTGTTTTAAACAGCAAGCCAAGCACACCGCTCCTGGCGCCGGGGAGACGCCTGGACAACAACAGCGATAGCTAAATGGGTGGCTACAGTTTAACATTGTGGAGGACGAGGGGCTACGTTAGATAATTCGGATTGCATCCAACATGTCGACTGCACATCACAGCGCATTATTTTGACCCACAGTGGGAACTTCAGTCTCATGCTTTGACTGAAGATGAAGACAGAGGAGCGGCATTTCGCCTACAACTGTAAACAGGCTTGTCTGTTTGAGCAACTGGCTCAGTGCAAAGAAGTAGACAGGGTTGGGAGAGAGTGTAAGAGAGAGAGAGAGGTTCCAGGTTGTTGTGTTGAGAATATTCAGGAGAATATTTGTCAATGTTCCAATGATAATAAACAAACATTTGCATAAAGGATATTTGTCCACTCATATGTTGATAAGAGTATTACAAACTTGAAAAATATTCCTCTAATGTACATTTAGGACAGATACAAAAATATGTTTTAATTGCGATTAATCGCAATTAAATATTTTAATCGACTGACAGCCCTAATATTTATGTATAAAAGACATCAACAAGTTCATTTTGCATAATAGGTGAACTTTAATATAGTGAGGAAAATCCCCCTGATTGGTTATCTAAGGTGAGGCAAGGCGACCACACATTCCTAATAGAAATTGGGGAGTTACATTTGAATCACCTTGGCATTACCAGGCAGGGATAATCTAACAAAAGATACAGTTCAGTAGCATTATGTGAAATTGTATGATCCAGTTTGACAAGATATTTCAAAGTGTTCTGAGCCAAACATGTCAGAACTAAA